GGTTCACAGTTAAGCAAGTGCTCGGCTTAATTGCCGCCATGATACTTTTATTGTGCATTAATTCCGTGATTGTCGTTACGAAATCAATTTGCCACGATACTTGAGGCGTCGTAAAGTTATTTAACGTGTATTATAAAAACAACGTGCTTACGTGTTCTCCCACTACGAGCGTTCCTATCCCTGCTCTCTCTCTCTCTTCGCTTCTCTATACGCAGACTGCGTGTGACTACATGACTTACGTTGACTCATAAAGATCTGCACACAGCGACTCGTCTCGATTTTCCCCGGCGGATTTTACCGGCTTTATGTAGGCGTAATACGGAGATTGATAATAAACGTATATAAGACGCGTCATTCGCCAAGCAGAGAAGTCATTGTATAAATAATATTCTATATGTCTGAGCAATCTAACGAATTTCATTAAATCGTAACAAAGGTGTTGTGATAAAGAAACAACGATACACTAGTCTCCTGTTCTTTTTGTATATACTTTAAAATGTATAACTTTTTAGAAAGCATTATATCTATATGATATATTTCTTCCGCGATAGAAAACGATTTTATTAATTTAATCAATCAATTAATAATAGATTTTATTTATTTAATCAATTAACAATTTATAAGAAACTAGAGTTTTGCAGGACATTTTGGAAGCTCCGTAACAGACAAACGCACAAATTGGCAGAAAGCATTAAAGTTACGTCACTTTCCTAAAATTTATGAACTATATAAAGACATGATAAATCACAGCATTAAATCGACGAAAGCATTTATCTCATCTATTAACGTCTCAAGTTAATCATGTGTTTTGATATATTCACTCACTCAGTCTGTAGAATAATCCACAAGTTATGCGAAGAAAACATTTTACAATTTATCACTATAATAATAACTATATTTTGCCGATTTATATATTTAACGAGCACGCGTAAAAAAATTACGATAAATCAATAATAATCGACTAATATATAAATGCAATGTAGTTAGATGTGCCGCTTGAAAGAAACTGATCGCTCGTCACCGGTTACTGAAACCAGTCGGAGTCCTTCGAGATTCGACGGCCGTCGCCGAAGACAACTCGTTCGTTGTTTGCTTAACTGATTATCGCGGTGTACGAACAAATACGCGGTGCATCTTTCAAAGTTATATGCCGTCGTCGCCTTTCGTAGCCGAACCTGCGATGCCGTTTTCTCGGATGAAATAAAGTGTCAATTCGGAAACCTGTCGCGGCGGGAAAAAATCGGAATATATGATGCGAAAGAACGTTCATAATGTACAGAATCTTTCCGTTTTATATCCTGTTTAAATTTTCTCAATATATATCTCATCAGTTTATTAATAATAATTGTGCAAAATTTAATGTAATGTCCAAAATTTTGTAATATGTTCTTTCTCTCTCCCTTCCTCTCTCTCTCTTTTAAATATAATTTACGTAGCATAATTTATGAAAAAAATTTTACTGATATACGTTATTTAAATAATTGGACAGTTACAGAAAATATTAAAAATAACATAGATATATTGAACATAAAATAAAAATTAAATTAAAAAATAATGTAATATTCGTCGTTAAATTAGCTACATAAATTATAAAAATATTTTATTTCTGCATAAAGGTAAATTTATGAATGCGTTTTTAAATATTACAATTTAAATATTAGAATAAAAAATAGTTACAATTAATTAACCATGCCATGCTTGCGTTTAATATACCTTACTGAGCAACGAAGAGAATTATGCTTGAAAAAATAATCTTTCATTTATATGTGTAGCATGTGATAATATAAAGTATTATCACTCCATTCAATGTATGCAATGTATACAGTATATAGTTAAATAAGCTATGTAATTATACAATTTAACGTAGTTCGCAGAATAGATAAGCAAATATATGTTTCTAAATTAAAATATTTATATTAAGAAATAAAAGAGAGTATGCACGTGTGTGTATAATATATACTATACATATATTTTGATATATATTTATCATTTTCCTTATAATTTATCTTTTTTTATTAGAATTTTGTGAGTCTTTTAACTTATAACTTGATATTATTATTATCATATCAAAAAACTATCGCATCAAACTTTCTACAAGTGTTGCAAAAATATTAAAGAAATTTAGTTTACATATTAATTGTTTTCGTTAGTTCTTATTTTCTTATTATCAATAAACAAAATTAAAGTAACCGTTCTTTGCGAATATAAAGAATATTCTTTCGAAAAGTTTAATATAAAACCAAACTTCTTTTTTTACATATTTATTTTTGACAGCTTTCAATGCTACAATTAAAAAAAAAGCCCATATAAAGAATTGCCCTCTAGCGAGAATTTTCAAAAGGATTAATGAGAGAGAGATATAAGCTGGAAAAGAAGTTATCTAAAATAATTTTCGGTCGGTATAATAGAATGTTCAGAAACATAGTTATCTCCTGTGGCAAACAGAAGTTATCCGCGGTGCAAATTCCATATTCGGAATATTCTCCATATTTTTGCCAAATTAGATATATCGAATCAAATATATTTATCGAATTAAATAAATGTATTGAGATAATATCTAACTGCCTCTCTGCCTCTCTATCTGTCTTAATAAAAATAGATATTATTTTCTAAATAACAGAGAGATATAATATCAACAAGAACAAATATATACAGTGTCTCAGTCCTACCGCACCATCTGCTAATAGCAGATTCTTCAGATCATTTGGAGATGATTTTTCCTCAACGAGAATGTCGAGAGAGGTCATTATTTTTTGCAAGTTTTCAATTTTTTCCATATTTTTGTAACTAAGTTTTAAATTATAATTCTTTTTCTCTATTAAAGTAAACTCTATTTGAAATTAACTAAAGAATGTAGTTTTGACTCTCTATAAAATTTAATTTGTAAAAAGCCCTCTTTTTTGAATCGCTTGTAACACGGAAATTATTGAGGCCTCGATATTTTTGCTGAGGAAAAATTATCTCCAAATGATCTCCAGAATCTGCTATTAGCAAATGGTGTAGTAAGTCTGGGACACCCTATATATATTTAATATTGCAAGTAAATAGTACGAAAAAAAATATTGCAGGAGCAAAAGTAACATTTCATATGAATATTCCATATTATTTATACATCAGTCCCTTAGAGCGGATATATTAATATTTCACACGTGCATAAACCTTAAACATTTTTCGCCTTTCTCCTAATTCTTGTTAAAAAGATAATTCTTGATCATTAATATGACGAATATATATTAATATAACAGAGATAAATTCAAACCACTCACCGGTCGTTGCAACGTCGCCATGATTCTCTGCCAACTTTCGTCGACGATGAATCTGGATTCCACGAAGCCTCTTCTCACCACTCCCTCGCGAAAAGCTCACTTTCGAAATTTCGATCGCACGCGACGCGATATACTGCGTATTTATACGCACAATACGACGATACTCCTTTCGACACTCCCGATACTTTTCCCGGCACTCCCGAGACGTACGTGCAGGCGACCGTTATTCCCGGAATACGTTAACGTACTACTTGAAACTTGCCGGATATCGGATTACATAAAGGACTCATTCGCGAAAAGTTCAGCTTCGAAATTTCGATCACGAATGACGCGATTTACTGCGTATTTACGATCGCTCGATACTTATTTTTTCGACACTCCCGATACTTTTTTTCGACACTCCCGATACTTTTTCCGGCATTCCCGAGACATACATGAAGGCGTCTGTTATTCCCGGAATACGTTAAACGTACTACTTGAAATTGTCGCGATGTTCATACTGCGCTCTCCCGTAATTCTCGCGGCATATTTATACTCACGATAACTGAAAATCGTAACTCGGATGTGACGCGAGACAAATAAATGACAGCGTTAATCACGGCGAGCGATTGATTCCGATCCTCCGATTGTACTTACACCGCGGCCACCGCGCGAATTTCGACGTCACGATTGTCCGCGCTTTCAGTAAGTACAGCATAAACACACGCGCGATGCATAGATGGCAACAATCTTTTTTATTCCGTTAGAGCGCTGTGAACCAGTTACGTGACTCCGAGCTATACGAATTTAATTTGGCTGATATAAAAATTGTTCAAATGCTAGTTTCTATTAAATATTGCGACATTAATATATCTGTATGGATCAATTAAGAAATTCGATTCAATTTTTTTATGCTTGTATAAATAAAATTGAGTAAAATTAAACTTTTCGTACCTTCCACTTGGCATTATAAATGCTTCGAATTATCTGATCAATTAGGGCCTATCAGATAAATTTTGCTAAAAATCAACCAATCATTCGTCGAAGGTAGCAATATTTTATACATTAGAATTAGACACTCGATTGATTAATTATTTTATAGATAGGCATTATACATCTATGCAAATGTCTCTGATGGATAGGATCTTAAAATTTATTGTTAGAACAAATGAGACAAAAATATCTCTTATTTTGACTGATCAATCAAACGATTCGAAGTATTTGTAACGACAAGTGAAATGTATCTTTTATTCGCATGACATGAGAACAATTTATTTAATCTCCGTTCTTGTTTATAAAATGTATAAAAAACATTATCAATAATGTTACTTTTGTTTTAGACACATGTAGTAAACCGCGTACTAAAAATCGAACTTACTATGATTGATCCAATATAGTGAACATATGTAAATGTGCATTGACGGCCATGTATAACGCGGACATAGACCCGAAAACCATAAAAAAATTGTCAGTACTAATTATCGACAAACGCATTATAATATTTATTAGCTAATTGATTTATTTCTTATGGTTCTTATGATAGTATTGTAGATTGCGCGAGAGAGTAAGAAAAAAAGAGTGGAAGAGAGAGAGAGAGAGAGAGAGAGAGAGAGAGGGAGGAGGGCACGAAGTGGGAGAAGTACATAGACGCTGTGTACGAGAAGGAGTGACTTTGAAGAGAGACAACGAGAGCGCGAACGGCTTTGTTATTCACAATAACACAGTACACATTATTGGGAATACAATCTGTTTATGTGGCGACGTAAAATATTACATCGAGCACGATAATTTTTGCAAATGTTATGATACAAAATAAGCGCGTAGAGAAACGAAATAAGTATAAATGCGAATCTAAATGGGACTGTTTTTCACGCGTGCGAACTTAGCACCTCTCTCACGTGTGGCTTGACAGACAAGGATATTACGAACGCTTTTTCGACGTATAAATCGCACTTTTTACGATCTATATTATTTCGATTACGATCATACGCCATGTATCATATGAACCATGTTTACGAACACTTGTTGCAAGAGCGCGCTAACGTTAATTATATCGTGGATGAAGACATAAATACGGTTAACGACGTGGATGCGAAGAGCCGATCGTTATCGGAGGTTAGTTAACGTATCATATAATTGCGATTGACGAACTGACAATGAGATCACAATTCTGTTACACATATACACACACACACACACACACACAATGGAATGTTATCAAAATAAAAGAAATATACATGTATGTATATATACACAACATACACATGCGCGCGCACACACACGTATATATGTATATAATACGAAAATATATATATATATATGTATATCTCTCTTTCAGAGAAAAATTTTTATCTGCTTATTGAAATACGCTATGGAATATTATCTATAAAATTATATGAATATATTCGAAAATACCAAGCTTTCTCGCAAATATGGATTTATACAGATAAACGATAGAAAATACGCGTTTCTAAAAATCTATTTTTTCTATATATATTGATTGCTTATCTTCGGCAACTTCAGGCTCGCTTGATATTGAAGAAGACTAACGCAACGAAAAATATATATCTCGCTTGTATATGTATAATTATAGTGGTTACGTGTTTTTCTCTTTTTGCAGAAACGATGGCGGAACATTTAACGAGGAACAAAATCGACATGATCCTTCGGGCAATATCTTTAAAATCGTGTAATGGGTTTACACGCATAGCGAATTTTATGAAGCGATGATTGCCGGTTAGTGTGTGAACGAACGATTTTTTAACTCTCTAAGGATCCCTGGGAGTAATAATTCTAGTCCTTGTTATCTTAACAAAGTGTAGTTAACGCGCGTAAGAAATTAGACGTCGTATATTTAATACACGCAAATGTTCTCGGCTGCTTTAGATTTATATAGCCGGTATCCTGCGTGCATATAATCCGAGCATTTCACATATCTATATCTAAAACATTAAATATTCTTTTTTTTATCTAATAAATCGAAGGAAATGAGTCTAAATTTATCACTTTTGATTTATACAAAATGTCTCATCCAGCTGCGTTATTTTGTAATGATAAATTTACTGAACAATTTGATCAATCTTTCTTTATAGAGAAATTATTGAGAGAAGATATCATTATAACTTTTGAATTTTCAGGTATTTTTTATTCTTATATTCTTTTGCAATTAAGTTTTAGTAATGTATTATAATTGTTAAATTGTGTAATTTTATTTGCACGCGCGGGCATGCCTAATTTATTTATTTTTATTTTTGTAAAAGCAGAAGACGGTATGCCATCGATATCAATTTAAAAAAAAACTTACTGGTTGCTTAAAAATATACCGGGTTTTCTTTATCACATGTAGTAACAAAAAAGATTTTTTTATTTGCAAGAGAAAAACAAATTATATCAATTTATGGAAATTACTATTCCTATATATAACTAATGTAACCCCAGAAATAGGATAGATTTTTTGACAAATATATTATTATAATTTTTACTTAGGAAAAATATGCTATAAGAGATTATCCCTTGTCAAAACATTTTTTTACGGCAAATTCTACAATAAAAGTACAGTTAATAATACAAACAAAATAAACAGATATATTTTTTACTCTGTCTTTTAGAATTAATATCGCGTGATCGACTCGATATATCGAATAGTTTGAAAAAAAAAGAATAATATTTTTATTCTCCTTTGAAATAGATTGCCAAAACCAATTGGCGATTCAGCAGTTGCTACCGCATCAAAAGTACCGGCGGCCAACGACTTCCTATCGCTATACTTTCACGGAAGACATATTGGAGGACTTCACTGCGAGGGAGGAAATATGTTCTACGATCGTTACCAAGGAAACAGGGTACGGCATGGTTTTTATTGGGAAGTAAAAGAAACCATGCGTAAGTCTTTGTCATGAGTTACTGTTAAGCGACTGGCTTTGAGCGATAATTCGAGATATCGCTACCGATATTTGTTGTCTCCGATTGCTTTTTAATGTTTATTCCTAATATTAGCAAATTTGCAAATATTTCATTCTTTCTTGATTAATCTTACAACATAAAAATATTTTACATATATCGAACAATACATTATTATCTCGTCTTAATGTCGCATCTTGAATAAGGAAAATAAATATATAATATTAATAAAATACTTAAATCTGTTTTCCATAAGCACTCTTGGTCTAATTTATAATTTTTTCCTTAATAAAGATCGAGATAATAATAATTTTATTACAATCAATTAAAGATGAAAGTATCTTCACAAATTAAATTTCAAAAATAAGAATTAATAACAAAACCTTAAAACTTGCATTTAATTTTGAATAAACTATAACATAATAGAATTGTATTTTAAGATTTAGTTACTAAAATGTTTGTGGAATGTCGGAAATTAAAAAGTTATGTTGAAATAAAAATAAAAAGATGGTATTGAATTAAATATCTAAAGAATAATTGATTTTAAATTAAAAGACTTCGCTTTCAAAGAGTTTGTCTGTAAAGTTTGTCTAAACAAATTTTTAATAACAATTTGTACATACTTAAGACTAAAAGATACATGTAATTTTGCAATGAAGAGTATTAAGGCGTGAATGCATAAAAATCTATATTTTTGAGATTATACAAATATATCGAAAAAATGTAATAAATTGTTCCATATTTAAGTTATTAACTTTTCTATTATATAAAAAAATATTTAGAAGTTCATGGATGCGCGCATAGGATATAAAAATTTCAAATATAATAGTATTCTTTAGACATTTTTCCTCATCTTTTCGATTATGAAAGATCTGTAGTTATATAAAAGAAGAAGCAAGCTGAACACACTGGCGGTTGTAATATTTACAAGCGCAATAAAAGTACGCTTTTAGCAACCCATTCATCTAAACCTTGTGTTGGTGGAACACAACGTCGCGGAACTTTGGCCGTACAATAATGCCAAATATGCGTGAAAAGAATACGATTCGGAGATGTTTGGTCCGCACCAGTTTTACTGCTTTTTTAGCATTTTCAGGTGCACTAACTCCTCTCTATCTTCTATTTTTAGTCTGGGTTATTTTATCATATGACTTTGTAGCTTATGATATGTATAGCTAGTAATCACTGATAATTAAAGAAAGCAGGAAAACTTTTTATAAATATATTGACGATATAGAAAGTATTGTAATCGCATTTCTAGACAAAAATATTTTGCAGCGGTTGTTCGTTCGAAATCGTGTATATATATAATGTATCGATTCTAAAGAAGAAAAGTTTTCTGTCATAAATTAATTTGAATATAATTATATAATTCCAGATTCTCGCAATTCTATTTCTACAGAAAATATTATTGTATAAATAAGTTTCTTTAAAAAAACTTGAGTTACAGTATTTTTCTCATTGATGATGTCAAAATTATCTTGAATTAGTCTGGTGTACATATTTTTATTATAATATGCATAATATTAATAAAAGATTTTATTACTACATATTTTTATATATTCTATTATCTTGCAAGATCAATTATAGTTTTATAAAGCATTTTTAAAAATCTTCACAACACTATAATCACAACGGAAAATTTCCGATATATAGATTTTTGTTTAGGAAACAGATGTAACGAAAAAGTAAATTGCATAAAGAAAAAAGTATGGAATTATATATTAAATGCAATTTTTTATTATGTCATGGGGTTGGAAATGTGTCGCCATTTTAGAAGTACTTTCCCACGTAGCCGCGGTTAATTTATCGGATTTTCTCCAGTCGCATCCCTTATGGAACCATGGTAAAAATGGCCGACCGTGTATCCATGGAAACACTCTCTCGCAGCACTTTCGTGGCAAGAAGGGATGAACGAAATAGCGTGCACGCCACGTGAACCAAGGAGGGATGGCCCCTCGGATGACGACGGATACGAGCTGACATATTTCTCGTATCTCCCATTGAACGAGCCATCTAATCTACAGGCCCCGTTTCTTCGCTACGGGGACGACGATGACGATGAGACCGTTATTATGTGCTCGAGAATTTGCAATCCAATGCAGTTTACGCGATCGTAAAAGGGGTGCGACTTAGTCCGTCCTTTTTTCTTAATCTACGGGGAACGTATGCGGGAAACCGCCAAATGGTCTCGTAAACGTGGATCATCAATAAGTTTCCTTTCTCTAAACGAAGGTTACTGCGATGGTATAAACACTAGTCAAAATGGTGACGCTAAAATTATGAATTAACAATCGGATGATGCGCTGACACGTCTGGTTAATATGCACGTAGCTAATCGTGAGATACTTGCTGTTTATGACCGGTATACCAGTCAAATCATATACATACGGAATCATCTACAGAGAATAGGTTTAATAGTGTAAGTGTCTCATATGTCAAATGGATTCATATAAATTGAAATTGATAATAATATTAATAAATTGGCAATATCAATAAAAAGTATTGGAGCTATAAAACTATAATTTTTTTCAGAAATACTTGTACAATAATATTTTTCTCTGGAAAAGCAAAATTATAATAATTGTATAATTATACTTAAGTTAAATGTACAAAACTTTTCATTTTATTAAACGATATATTTTTTTATATAATGCAGTTGACTTCAACAAGACAGTATCTTGAAATCTTATAATATTTTTATTGATATCGATGAAATTGTAATTTATACATTAAAATATTTGGTAAAAAACTTTGGAATATAACACACACATTAATGTTTTATATAACTATATATCATATAAACACATATTTTATATAACTATATTTTTTTGCTCATTTTAAACAGACTTTACTTTGTCATAGAATTTAATTTGAGCTCAGTTAAAAATACATTAAAAATTGAAAAATTGCAATAAATAATGACTTTTTAAACATACACATCATTATTTTTCGATATTAGAAGAAAAATTTTAAAAAATTATATATTATAAGAAATTAGTTATATTATACAACTTCAAAAAGGGATTTTAAAAGTTTTACTTTAAAACTGAAACATATATAAAAGTTAATGTTTAATTTTGAGATGTCGCCAGTAGATAAATTAAAGGAGTGTTTATATATATCCGACCCAACTGGCAATTTATTGTTTGATTGTGATCACAACGTTTCGACTATATGGTTTTGGTCCTTATCAATAGCTGAAATGTTCTTTATTAAAAAATATGACAACACTATTAACTCTCAAAAGGATACAGAGAATTTAAATAACATATATGATAGATTAATAAAGGTCGTTTAGTCTTTCTCAGTATCTTAAACAGAGAGGTTGACACAGTGTCATTATGACATGCGACTTTTTTTTCTTTCAACTTTAACTATAACGCAGGTACATAAATTTGTTTATTTCATTTTTGTAACGTGATTGTCATTATTTAATATTGTAATTTTAGTTCACTTGATAAGGACCAAAACCATATGGTCGAAACGTTGTGATCACAATCAAACAATAAATTGCCAGTTCGGTCGGATATATATAAACACTCCTTTAATATATAAAAGTATTGTTTATATATCAACTCTTTTTGATCTTATACACACATACACAGTAAACTTTATTTCTCTATAAGATCAATTGTTAATAATAGAGTCTTTAACAAATAGAAAATATATGTCGATTGTTTTAGCAGAAATGCCGATAAAAATCATTTTTGTCTCTCTCTTGTTATATATAAAATAAAATAAAGAAATTACATTATCATACAAATAAACCATTCATATTTTTATTCTAAAAAATGCTAGATGTATGATAAAATATTTTCTAGATATATTAATCATAAATAATAATCTATAAATAATTTGTTTGAATTGCTCTTTTATTGCTCTACAATTTTTTAATTTTAGTTAAATAAAATATAATCTGAAAGTATACAAAAAAATACAATGACTAAGAATAATAAAAATATTTGGTATATTGCAATATAAATGATATTGTTACAGCTAGTGATTTATATTTAATTCCATAGGATTTAGTAATGGGAATTAAATACGAATTATTGACATATAGATATTTAAATACAAGATTTGACTTCAATATGGCGTTTGTTTTTCACGCTAGTTGCACACCGTTGATTATATTTGTGATAGCAAATGTGTTAAAAATAAGATATAATAAAAAACAGAGACGATTATATTTGTGATAGCTAATGTGTAAATATATATATAGATTATATTGAATACAATATTAAATGATATTATAAAAAAAAAAAATATATATTATAAAATGCTATTCTTTTCTTCTATTAAAAAAAGCATTTTAATATCTTATTGATTAAAATGTTTTTATACTGTTTTACTTCATATATTTTTTATTTCATGTATTTTTGCAAAGTCAATTTAGTTCCAAGTTACATGGATGTTTCGTATCTACGGTTAAGAGATCGTTCGCCGGAGAAAGATACTGGACGACGGCCTCTATAAAATATATTAGGTACGACCGGGGGCTACGTTATGGCTGAAGCGCCAATGCGGGATAAGTCTCGGGAGGGTTGCTACCTCGGGAACCAAATGCCTCAAGCTGCAGCTTGTAAAAGTGTCTGCTTGGCCAATAGCAACGAGCCGTGACGCTCCCCTAATATAGAAGAGCGCCCCTTTTGCTCCCCAAGTTTCAGTAGTACCACGGATAATGGCGAACATTCCGCGGCTGATATACTTCTACGACTTCCATCGACTTGTGTTGTTAAGCAGTCATAAATTAATCTCGTAAAAGAAGGACAGGACAAAATGAAAAGAGCAGCCAGGTAGTTTTTTACTTAAATACGTTACATCTTGAAGAGAAATATAATCTTATTTCTAAATAAGAAAATGTATACATCATCTTGCAAAAATTTCCTTTGCTTTTCGCGGCTTCGATTTTTATGACATATAGATATATATAAACAAGTATACTAACCAGTAATCAATATAATTGTTGATTGCAGACTAATTTACATTACAATGTCGAACGTTCAGATATTTCCGATAAAAATACCTGAAAAGTATCTCTTGACATTTTCTTTTCTTAAAAACAAATGTTCAATGCATTTTTTGATACTACTGATAATGAGATAAGAGCAAGTCAAATTGAGATAACAATCAGTAAAATAGGCAATAAAATATGTTTTCTTTCCAAACCATATTAAAATACATATATCAAAGAGAAACGTAATATTATAAATAAAATGTAAATCATAAATATATGATATAATTTAAAAAATGTGACGACATAATAATTGTTAAATTAATCATTAAATAATTCTTTTTTGTAAATTTTTCAAGTAAATCTCTATAATTATTTGTTACAAGAAATAACCAAAAAATTCCAAGTACAAGAAAGAGCTACAAAATTATACAATTTTCAGACACAAAATAAAAATTTTCCATATATATGCGATGTGTATACATATGTGTGATACTTCACCGTTACGACATTATATATATATATATATATATATATATATATATATATATATATATATATA